CCCACTGAAGTCAGAAGGCCCGCAGGGGGGAAAGAATCTGAGATGAAGTTCTGGTCCCACTGAAGTCAATGGCAAAACTCCCATTGACATCAGTGGGGCCAGGATTTCACCCCCATGTCTAGTGTAAGTAACCCATAGACCACTTTTCCCAGGCTCCAGCAATCTTCACTGAAGGGACAGAAGGGATAGTTAGAAAGGGAACAAACTTGTGCCAATTGGAAACTTACTGCAGCCCTTACAAGGTAACCTGAAGAGAGAAAAAAAGAGGCTATTTCAGAATGAAAGCCCCAAGAGACACGGTCATCGAACACATCCTTAATTATACAGACCTGGGCCTTGTGCTAAATGCATTAGGGAGCTTCGTGTTGGCTATACAAGCATTACAAGGAAAAGCTCAATGTTCCCTAGAGAAACCACTTGTGGGATTTCCAACCCCAAAACTTCAGCAATTGTGAATTTTTACCAGGGAGGGTAATTAACCATTGGCACAATTTACCAAGGGTCATGGTAGGGCTGGTCTACGCGGGGGGGGGGTGGGGAAGGGGGGGAAGGGATCGATCTAAGTTACGCAACTTCAGCTACGTGAATAACGTAGCTGAAGTCGATGTACTTAGATTGACTTACTGTGGTGTCTTCACCGCGGTGAGTTGACTGCTGCCGCTCCCCCGTCGACTCTGCTTGTGCCTCTTGCGGCGCTGGAGTACAGGAGTCGACGGGAGAGGGCTCGGGGGTCGATTTATCAAGTCTAGACTAGATTGATCTCTGCCCGCCGATCCAGCGGGTAGTGTAGACATACCCGTAGAGTCTCCATCACTGGCAATTTTTAAACCAAGATTTGATATTTTTCTGAAAAATCTGCTCTAGGAATTATTTTGGGGAAGTTCTCTGGCCTGTGGTATACAGAAGATCAAACCATGTGTTCACAATGGTCCCTTCTGGCCTTGGGATCTGTGAGTGAAACCCCCTTCCCCTCCCAAACCCCCCCCACCCCATGAGATTGGCGTAAAAACTAAGAGATTTAAAAAATAATAAATTTGGGATGGGGTGGTGGTATTTGCCTTTTGGGTTCTGAGCCTTTAGGGTTCATGTTTCCAAGCTTTACTCTGCAGCCAGGAGAACTGGAATCTCACCAAATAAAAAAAAAGTTGGAGTCTGATGTAATCACATGACTCCAGGAACTGGGGCTTTAAAGAAAAACAGCAAATATTAAACTAATAATGAAATGGCAGAGTTGGCAGTACTGCAGGAGATTCAACCCTCCAAAAAATACTGCTAAAGTTATTTAACAGTACAATGCAACCCATTTGTTAGGGAGGCAGCGTGGCCTAGTGGGTAGCACACTGGGTTGGTATTCAGGTAGACCTAGGTAGGTTCTATTCCTGGCTTGCCTGCTGGGTGACTTTGGCTAAGTCTTTTCCTCTGTGACTAAGTCTTCCCATCAGTGAAACGGGGATACTTCTATTGATCTCCTTTGTAACCTGCTTTGAGATGTACCGATGATAAGAACTGGGGATATTATATGGCAGCGAAGTCTGGCGCCAGGGTTTAATAGCAAATTACACTGATTGGAAGGAAGTCCCACGTTTACAGTTCTGCCGACACATCCATCACATGTGGAAGGATGGCCCAGTGATTAGGGTGCTAACCACTGACTTAAGTGATCAAAGTCCTAGCTCTGCCACATAGTTCCTGTGTGAATTTGGGCAAGTCACTTAATTTCCCTCTGTGCCTCAGGTCCCCATCTGTGAAATGGGAATAACAGCCCTGGCCTGCCTCACAGGGATGGTGTGAGGATGCATACAGTAAAATCTGAGGTGCTCATCTGCTGTGGTGTAAGTACCAGAGACAGTGAGCTGTGCACAGGACCTCAGCACTAGAAGGCCACAAGTTAAAGCCAAGTGAAAGCATCACCCATTCCAGTATCTCCTCACCAACCCCTCAGCCCATGGAGCAAACAACCTCAGCAAAAGAAACTGGAAACTGCTCAAGATATGAGAGCAGCTAGCGTAGAACAAATGGAAGCCAAGAGGCTGGGCTGTGGCAGAGCCCTGCAGCGAAGTCTCTCACAGCAGCAGACCCACATCCCTGTAGGAATATTCAAAGCCAGGTCAGACTAATGCCTCTGTGACGGTAACCTACAGGTGGACAGTGGGAGGCACAAAGTCCACTCTAAGCCCTGAGGGGAATGGTTGTGAAATCAGTGGGCCCAAGGAGAGCTGGAGACCAAGAGACATACATGGGTGAGAAAGAGGTTTTCTCAATCTTAAGCCTTCTTGTCACCAGGCAATGAGGGGACTCTGGGCCTGGCCTTGGCAGAGGGAGAGAGATGGCCGAGGTGGCATGGGGATCTGGAGCAGTACTGCCAAATGGGCTCAGGGGAACAAGCCCCAAAGACTGCGTGTCCTCTCTTCTGAGGGGCCTGACATTTTCTTATATTTTGGCAACAGACGTATAGCTTGTCGTGCCATTAGAGTCTCATTGGATTGAACTGTCTGCCTCCTGGATGTGTGTGTGTATCAGATGCATGTATGAGAGGTGTGTCAGATGCATGTGTGTGTGTGTGAGCTGTGTTCAGAGGGGTAGTTGTGTCAGATGTGTGTGTGTGAGCTGTGTTCAGAGGGGTACCTGTGTCGGATGCATGTGTGTGTGAGCTGTGTTCAGAGGGGTACCTGTGTCGGATGCATGTGTGTGAGCTGTGTTCAGAGGGGTACCTGTGTCGTGTGTGTGTGTGTGAGAGAGAGCTGTGTTCAGAGGGGACCTGTGTCAGATGCGTGTGTGTGTGAGCTGTGTTCAGAGGGGTACCTGTGTCGGATGCATGTGTGTGTGAGCTGTGTTCAGAGGGGTACCTGTGTCGGATGCATGTGTGTGT